TTGTGAATCGTCCTTTGCTCAATTAAATTTTGTTAATTTCAATTTGTCTAAATTTTTTCTTTTATCAGCTGGTTTTCATGTCCAGCACAGGCTCAGGTCCACTCCAAATCCCGGACCCTGAAGATGACTTAAATTCTGATTCAGGTCCGGAATTTCCCCAATCTCCTGGACCCTATGAATGATTTGGGAGTAAACAAAATGTTCTGATTTCTCCTTAGAGCAGAGCACTCCCTCCTGTGTCCCACTTCCAGCTCAAACACCCACCCCATGGACTGGTGTCTGAGAGCAGGGAGGAGCAAGAAATGAAGAAAAGAGAACGCAGAGAGGAAGGTGGTAATTATTCATGTTGTGAAGGGAAAATAAATCTTGGGGCCCCCAAATCACTAAGCTAAAGGGAAAAGTCAAGCTGGGAACTGTTTAGGGCCAATCTGCCTCTCATTCTGTTCAAAGTCGCCCCTCTGCTCACTGAGATAAATGCATAAATGGAGAGGCTAATTAGAAACTGAAGAGAATGCAACCATTTTTCTCTTTTCTACCTATGACCTGGAATCCTCCTCCCTGCTTCGAATCTTCCGCCTTTGCTTCGAGCTGTCCTGTTTCCAGACCAAGCCAATGTTCATCTTGTATATGTTGATTGATGTCTCATGTCTCCATAGACTGTATAAAAACAAACTGTGCTCTGATCACCTTGGGCACACGTTGTTAGGACCTCCTGAGGTCATGTCACAGGCATGCATCCTCAACCTTGGCAAAATTAACTTTCTAAATTAACTGAGACCTGTCTCCGATTTTCAGGGTATATTTTGGTAACCAAAAATATAATTCTAAGCCCCCCAACTCACTGATGGACGCCCCTTCTCAGCCAAGGTCGTTCCAAAGTAAACCTAATAAATGATTTCAGGCCATCATGGGACGATAGAGTCACACATGCCTCCTTCTAGCCTCTTTTAGAATTCAGGCTCAGCTGACCAGCATTAACACTAAAACAGAGATCTTAAGACTGAAAAAACAGATTCTTTGTAGCAATAAGATACCAAATTCCAATCTGACGCTAGTATAACATCATATGACAGATAGCAGGCCCTGAAATAAATTATTTTCCCCCAAAATATATTTATTTGAAATATTTTGAAATGGCCCTGCAACACTGTCTCTTGTTGAGACAATCTATATTCTGTAGAGAATCCCTTCCTTTTCCAAGTCTTTTCCCTGATCTGGGAGAGATTTAACTAAGATTTAACTTCTATTCTCTTTGAAGCCTGCTAGTTGGAAGCATCTTCTGCACAAGAACCTTGGTGTCCACAACCCCTTATCTAAACCCAGACATACCTTCATACCTTACTGTAAATTGCGGGTCCTTAGGTGATATCTTAACTCTTTTAACCAACTGCCAATCAGAAAATCTTTGAATCTACCTATGACCTGGAAGCCCCCACTTCGAGCTGTCCCATATTTCAGACCAAATGAATGTATACCCCCACATATATTGATTGATGTCTTATGTCTCCCTGAAACTTATAAAACTAAACTGTAGCCTGACCACCTTGGGCACCTGTTCTCAGGACTTCCTGGGGCTGTCACAGGTCATGGTTCTTATATTTGGCTCAGAGTAAATCTTTTCAAACATTTTACAGAGTTTTACTCTTTTTCATTGATATTCGTCAACTGAGCTCTTAGTCCTGTGGGATTCATGCTGGTTTCTTGTGTCGCCTCCAGGGACAGTTCTAAGAAAAAGTAAAAGGCAGGGAGCAAGAAAGAACAGAGAGAAAAAAAAAAGACAGAGAAAGGAAGATAGAGATCAGCTCTGTAATCCCAGAGCTTTGGGAGGCCATGGCAGGAGGATGGCTTGAAGCCAGGAGTTCAAGCCTGGGCAACATAGCAAGACCCTTGTCTCTGCAAAAAAATTAAAAAATTAGCCGGGCATGGTGGTGCACACCTGTAGTCCCAGCTACTCAGGGGGCTAAGGTTGGGGGATTGCTTGAGCTCAGGAGTTTGAGGTTTCAGTGAGCTATGACTGCGCCACTACACTCCAGTTTGGCCAACAGAGTGACTCTCGGTCTCTTAAAAGAAAATACTGTTTCACAGGTTTTTGTTTTTTTCTACGAATACTGCTAAGCTAGGTTATGAACCCCACTCACTTATAGAGGGCAGAACTGAAATCCTCTAGGTGAGGTCACCTTCCAAGACCACAAAGCGAGGTAGATGCAGAAGTTGGGAGAAAGCCTGACTGTCTCTGACTCACTCTGCAGCCTCTCACTACATCATCGGTCGCTCAGGCTCACGCATCTGAGTCATCTCTGTGGATTCTACTTTCATAGCAGCCCCAGGGATCATTTCCTTCTTTCCTTCCCCACTGCCATGACCTGTGCCAGGGCTTCCCGACCTCTCACTTGGACTATTGGCAACAGCCTCTGATCTGGTCTTTAGCCAGTCACCTTCATGCTAGTCTAACCCAATTCTCACTGAAAGATCAATCTAACCAACCACTGCCCTCACGGAAGTGAGAAACTTTTAACGACTTCCTGCTGCTTAATTTATTAAGTGTTAAAAACTCTTTAACGCAGTATCCATGGCCAGCCAATGCTTGAGCAGTATGCCTGCACTCCAGCTCAAGCCACCGTGGCTCGGAGATCCCCTGCACGCCTGTGCATGCCCATGTTGCTGCTTCTGTGCCTTCTCTTGGAAAGCCCCAGCCATGCCCCACCTAACCACACGTCCATCCCTCTGACATCCTCGGTGCAGCAGTTCAAACACTACCCCCACCCATGAAGCCCTTCTGATTCCTCCGACCCTGACCCTGAATTGCTGTAGCTGTTGTGAAAGGAAAATAAATCTTGGGACCCCAAAATCATAAGCCAAAGGGAAAAGTCAAGCTGGGAACTGCGTCAGGCAAACCTGCCTCCCACATTATTCCTAAATAAGATAGCTACAAAGATTTAAAAGCTACATACCTCCCTTACAATTTGCACACTGGGAAATTCCTTACAGGCCCCAATATCTTTACCTTAAAACAGTTTTGTTGAATTTTACCCTGACAGTGTAAACTGACAGCTTATCTTCACAGGCGTGGTACAAAGGACAGAACTCTAAGTCATCTCTCTGCTTACCTGAGACAAATGCATATCTGCTTTCTTCCTCTGATGTAAAAATGCAGACTCACTGAGCTAGAGGGAGACATAAATGACTATTATTCCTCTACCTACCACCCAGCGCCAACATGTAAATTATGTATTTGGTGAAAGACTGATCAAAGACTCGAAAGAATGCAACCGTTTGCCTCTTATCTATACCCACAGCTGAGAAATTTTTTTTCTCTTTCCCCAATATCCATCCTTTTCCCTTTAAATATTAAAGCCTCCAAAATCTTCTCTGGAGAAAGGCACAGACCTGCCTCCTGGCACACGCCCTTAACTTTCTCGATTGAGACCTGTCTCAGGTACTTTTTGGCTTGGACTCTTTATCACATTTTATTTTGTACTATCTTGTGTGTGTGCATGACTCATCTCCACTCTTAGACTGGGCTCCTTGAGGACAATGACCTATGTCTTGTTCATCTTTCAATCCCCAGAGCCTCACACAATGGACACACACTACACATATCCAATGAATGTATTTTGAAGGAATGAATTCCTTCTACAAGAAAAGACTCTACTGCAATGTACATGATTAGTTTAAGTGCTTTTACTTAGATTGCAAGGTCTTTGGCAGTAGAAACTTAATCTTTCCTAGAAAATATCTCACATATTGTATTCAGACCTCCCTTCCGCAGCCCATGAATTGATAAACACAATTAACTGTCTAGGCTGGGTGAACCGAAGTAATTCAGTAAAAAAATTTTACCAGTTCCTGTCCTCACTGTAGTTGCTAAATAAATATTGAAAGGACTAAGATAATTCTCTAAAGATCCCCGATAAGTTTATGAATACATATAACTTATTATTAATTAATAGAGCTTGTTAGATTCTCAATAAGCTCTCTGTGCACACAGCACTAAGACCACACATAACCAGTCACACTGACCTACACTTCACTGGTAATCTGATTCACACCAGGGATATGTTAACAAAATGTGTTCATTGTCCCAGGTTTTTAAAATCAAGGAGAAAGAAAGCCGAAATTTACCACATGGATTTCTTTTTCATTTTTGATCTGATTTTAAAATTTTTAAATACAATATATATTGGTTAAACTGTCGCTTCACAAAAATCCCGATGAATGTCAGAATCAATGTTTATGACTCAAGAGCAGACCAAGAATATTAGAAATGACCAGGGAAACTATGGTTTAAAAAGTCACCTTGGAGGAAGGGGAAATGCAAGGGAGTATAGTTATTTTGGAGGCAGATGAAATGCAGGTATGGAAATAGGACTCCATTTATACTTCACTTGTCAATGGCACTGGTAACTGTGCCCCAAGAGATGACAAAATGAAATAATAGATTTGCCACCCCCAGGCCCCTGCCAGTTGCTACCTCATTACTGATTATTGTTGCAAACTATTATATAATTTAAGAATTTAAATAATCAGTAAAAGACCATCAAATTTGCTTTGTGTTTTTGGGTGTGTGTAGGAAGCGAGGCAGTATAGGAGGAAAGAGGGCCAAGGGAGAGGAAAGCAATGCAGAAGAGCAAACAGCATACTAGAGTTGTTTTATCATATAACTTTTTTTCTCAAATAATTAGATCATCCACTGGTTTTGAATTTTTATTTATGCATGTATTTATTTATTTATTAGGTGGATACTTTTATGGTGAAGATTTGAATTTAGCTTTTAAATTGTAATTTTTCAAAGACCACAACCCCAGCTGACAAAGATGAAATACTTAACATTAAGAACGTCTTTTTGATGATTGCCCTTGTGAAACCTGGATAACAATTTTCAAGACATGTTTTGTTCATTTTCACCTAAGAAGGCTCTATTAGGCTACTTTCGGTGACTCAATTCCTACACTCTCAAGACAGGGCTGGCATTAGTTACACAGTCAGACTCTGTGCTGCATTCTGCCCCTTCCTGGAGAAACTGTCACCAAATTCTCAGTGAGTATTCACAGAGGGCATGGTTCAGTGGCTAGGCATGCACATTTGCATTTGTTGTTGACAACTGTCAGCTTTGACCTCCTTCTCTTCACAACCCTGTCTAAATGGGGTTTGTAATCCTCCTTCCTACCCACTCTCTTCACTCCCTGGGGCAAGAATGTTGACTCCTGCTCGTCACCTGTCAGGATCCATCCTCCTGTCACTGGCTTATATGGACAAGTCAGCCCACATCACATGACTGCAGGTTGCTAAAAACAGCTCCGGCACCCACTCCAAACCAGGGCCTGAAACAATGTCCTCCACCGAGAGAAACGTAAAGGACACTTGATCACACAATCCCTGGAATAATATCCAGGAAACACTTGCTGGAGCCACTTGCAGCACCCTTGCCTGGCAGCACACTTGGGGACAGCGAGGAGATGAGCGCATCCCTGAATTACAAGTCTTTTTCCAAAGAGCAGCAGACCATGGATAACTTAGAGAAGCAACTCATCTGTCCCATCTGCTTAGAGATGTTCACGAAACCCGTGGTCATTCTCCCCTGTCAGCACAACCTGTGTAGGAAATGTGCCAGTGATATTTTCCAGGTAGGTTTGTTTGGAATTTGGTTGGGGAAAGGGGGTGGAAAAGATTCCCTTCTCTTGGAATCAAGTGCTTAACACTGAGGTGAAATCCTTTAAAAAACTTTATAAGGTTGCCGGGTGCGGTGGCTCACACCTGTAATTCCAGCACTTTGGGAGGCCGAGGCCAGTGGATCACCTGAGTTCAGGCACTCGAGACCAGGCTGGCTAACATGGCGAAACCCCATCTCTACTAAAAATACAAAAAAAAAAAAAAAAAAAAAAATTAGCTGGGCATGGTGGCGGGCACCTATAATCTCAAGTACTTGGGAGGCTGAGGCAGGAGAATTGCTTGAACCCAGGAGGTGGAGGTTGCAGTGAGCCGAGATTGTGCCATTGCACTCCAGCCTGGGCAATGGAGTGAGACAATGTCTCAAAAAAAGAAAAACAAACAAACAAAAAAAAACTTTATAAAGTTGCATTTACTTTCAAGAAAAACATGTTTCTTTTAATGATTTGGTTTGTGTCCTCTTTACTCCCAAATCTAGTTTTATTTTAATACTAAGAATCATATACTTTTAAAAATCAAACCATTTAATGTGTTTCAAAACTATAAATAAGTAGTTGCTGAAGACTTTAATGTGGAGTTTCTGGCTGGAACTTTTGGTTCTGAAAATGTTGAATGGAAAAATATCTTATGTAGACAGTAGTATGTTCGCATATGACTGTGGATAAGGTCTGACCCTGTGTTTCAGGACCACTTGCTGAGAAAGCCCTGAGGGATGATCTTATGGCAAGCTTAAAGTAGAAGTTCATGTTGTTTGTAGTAGCAGAGAGTGAAAACAAGTCTCGGGGAAGCTACTTGTGGCATTACCCAATTCCTTTTTTCTTACTTGGCAAGAACAGGCCTCTAACCCGTATTTGCCCACAAGAGGAGGCACCACCATGGCATCAGGGGGCCGATTCCGCTGCCCATCCTGTAGACATGAAGTGGTTTTGGATAGACATGGGGTATATGGACTTCAGAGGAACCTGCTGGTGGAAAATATCATTGACATCTACAAGCAGGAGTCCACCAGGTAACACTCTTCCACTCTTCCATGTGTCAAGGCCATCTGAAACTTGTTTTTGTTTGTTTGGTTTAATGGGTTGCTGCACTGAATGCTTATTTATCAATCACAGACTGTTTTATGGAAAAATGGTTTTCCAAGTCAGTCCTTCCCAGTGAGACTGAGTTGCTCACAGCATGAGAGAGGGGAGTTGGTGCCCATGCTTTTGTACCAATTTAAGAATTAAGTGACTCATTAACACTAATCCATTCCAGATAGTGATGTTGAAAGAGACATACTGCTGTCCCTCTACACCTTAAATCCTGGTATTACATCCATTTTACACATTTTTGCACTTTACAGGTCCTTTGTAGCTCCAGATCTCTACAAAGCAAAGAAAAAAAATCTAGTAAAAACTTAATAGAAAAGTAATAGAAATGGCATCTTCCAAAATAGCCCAGTTCCTAATTCAGACAGTTTTGCCTTAAAATTGTTTGGATGGTAATAATAAAAACAAAATCCTCTAACATAGGTTGTCACTGTAGTTACTCTAAGGGAAGTCACAAAGCAAGGCAAAACCCTGGGCTTTAGGGACTTAAAGTTCAGAGACATGAGGAAAAAAAAGATGAAATTCAGGTTATGTTTCCCTATTCCTTATAGTGTATTTACTGCATAGTCAGCATTCACTTGTTGATTGCGAATAGCATTGTGATAGCATTATGTATCATCCATTCATTTAAAAAAATAACAAAAAAGGCTTCTTCTTCACCAAACCGCATTGGCTATAGAATTCCTTTCCTAGATACAACGCTGTGGGAAGCTTATTCCTAGAAGGCACGATGTGAAGAGCCCCTTTTCAATTGTGCACAGGTCAGTCCAGTCCACAAAGCTTGATAGCAATATTGAGACCATCTAGAAGTGGCCTCATTGTGATTCCATTAGGGGACATGTATTTATGGAACATCTGCAGAGCTCTAAGAGGCTTGTGCTCTTGGAAGGAAAGCTGTTCTATAAATCTAACATAATTATTATAATTATTATAGCTATTAATTTCCGCTAAAGATCCAAAACTAAATTAGACAGTACCAGGATCTAGATGGGTTTGGGGAAGAATTGCTGATGACATATTGCAGAGATTGCAGCTGGCTGTTTCCCTTGCTTCCAAAGTCTCTTGACAAGAACAAAAGTACTATTGCTGTTGCTGTTACTTTACAGATTTGATCTCATTGTATTTCACTACTTTAAAATACAAATACACACTGTCTCTTAAAAACTTAACCAACCAATTAAAAACCAATTAATTATGAGATTGATGCAAAATTGCGATTTTTGCAATTACTTTTCATGGCCAAAACAGCAATTACTTTTCCACCAACCTAATATTAAGAGAGTTTATATTAACAAGAGTTCCAGTGCTAGTCCAGTGCCTTGCACAGAATAGTTGCTCCATAAATCCCAGCTGATTAAGCAATACCACAAATATTCTTACATAACAAGTTTGAGAGCTAGTACAGTGCCTTGCACAGAATAGTTGCCCCATAAATCCCAGCTGATTAAGCAACACCACAAATATTCTTACATGTTCTATTTATTGCAATAAATTTATGTTTTGTTACTTGTCACAGTGGGAATTTGAGACATGAAAAAATAGCAATACTTTTTATGAAATCCAGAGAAGAGATGTTAAAACTTGCAGTATTAGTAAAACTACAAAACACATCTTCACCTTAACTATGAAGTTGGCTTGGTGCAGCTGCCAAAAATAGTACCCAGGGCTAGGAAGTAAATTGCACAAAAGCAATGAACGAAATTTCCAACAATAAAGCTCATAGTTGAGTGGACTAGGGATGCTTTTGTGATTTTCTATGATTTTGTTATGCTGTTTTGTCTTGAACTTGAGACTTGCTTGTGGGACAATTTTACTTGGTAGCAGAACCACAAGTCGCACAGAGCACTTGGCCATATGTCTGGGAAGAAACGCAGGTGTCCCCTGGGGGCAGGCAGCCTTACTAGACCAGAACCTTGAGCCTCAGGGTACATTAGGTAACCCTAGAATGACCTTGGATATACAGAGTGCGAAGAGTTCAGCTGTGGCCATTGGAAGGGGGTGGAGGGGTGACCAGTCACAGACTGGGATGTTATTGGTCAACTCTGACCTCCTCCAGAAAGGCTGGAGACTGTAAGTCTCCACCAAACCTAGCATTCTTTTTTTATTTTATTTTATTTTATTTTTTTGAGATGGAGTCTCACTCTGTTGCCCAGGCTGGAGTGCAGTGGCACAATCTTGGCTCACTCACTGCAAGCTCTGTCTCCCGGGATGACGCCATTCTTCTGCCTCAGCCTCCCCGAGTAGCTGTGACTACAGGCACCCGCCACTAGGCCCGGCTAATTTTTTCGTATTTTTAGTAGAGATGGGGTTTCACTGTGTTAGCCAGGATGGTCTCGATCTCCTGACCCGGAGGATCTGCCCGCCTCGGCCTCCCAAAGTGCTGGGATTACAGGCATGAGCCACCGTGCCCAGCCAAAACCTGGCATTCTTATCCAGAATTCTGCATGGTGCCAGACTAGCCACAGTTGGGAGGGAGAGACGGTAAGAGAAGGTACTATTTTGGCTAATATTAATAATTAATATAATAATAATTAACTTTAAACTATAACAAGTAAAACTACTATGTGCTATGTGCCAGACACTGTTCAGGGTGCCTAACACATGAATCATGTGCAATTCTTTTTTTTTTTTTTTTGAGACGGAGTCTTGCTCTGTCGCCCAAGCTGGAGTGCAGTGGCACGATCTCCACTCACTGCAAGCTCCACCACCCAGGTTCATGCCATTCTCCTGCCTCAGCCTCCCCAGTAGCTGGGACTCCAGGTGCCCACCACCATGCCTGGCTAATTTTTTTTTTTTTTTTTAGTAGAGATGGGGTTTCACCGTGTTAGCCAGGATGGTCTCGATCTCCTGACCTCGTGATCTGCCCACCTTGGCCTCCCAAAGTGCTGGGATTACAGGCATGAGCCACCGCGCCTGGCCCATATGCAATTCTTTAATTCTTACAATAATCCTGTGAGGTGTTGATTATTATAATTACTGCTATCCTATTAAAGTTTTTAGTGTCTTAAAGTAACTAAAATACACACTTTTTAAAATTCAGTATACAAGGCCTCTGAAGAGAAGTGCTATCTCCACCCTATTATCTCTTTACCCCCAAGCCTCATTCACCAGAGTCAACCACTTTTAATTCTTTTAACTGTTTTTCTGCTATTTATCACCAGTGACATGTGCATACTACTGGTATGCTTCTATTCTTTGACTTTTCAATTTTAGACATTTCCTATTGACTTTCCACTGTAGACAATTAGGACTGAGTCCTCACATGGCTAGGCTTTACCCTCTACTTGGGAATTCTTTTACTCTCCCCTGGGTTGAACCCCTTGCGTCCTGGATTCCAGGTCTCCTTGTTTGGTGGCTTACTCTCTTGTTTCTATGGAGCACATCCTCAAGTAATCTCTTGAAATGTGCACAAAGTCCTCCTCTTTTCAGCCTCTCCCACTCCGTCATTGCCTACTTCCGCCTTCAGGACTCCTGGCTCCTGCAGTTCCAGAGCCTTTCCAGGGTTTCATAGCTCAAGTCAGCTTGCTTATTGTAAGCTTCTCACTGCAGGAACGTAACAGAACTAAGGTGCAACTCAAGTAGGTCATGTCCCTTCATCCAGATGTTCCTAATTTCCAACATTTGGTTGACATCTCTCATCTGCTGTCATCCGTGCTCACTTTTTGTCCTTATTAATTTATGCCCTTTAATTTCCTTATCCTCATTTCACTGGGATTTCAGCGGAATACATACATACATACATATATAAATACATAAATAAATACGTGCTTGTGTGCATTCTGCCACATTTAATTAGAAGACCCTTAATCTGATTTTTGATACGAGTAAAAACTGAGACCAAAAGAGGTTAAGTAACTTGTCTAAGGCCACATAGCCACTACATGGAGAAGCTGAGCTGGAATGAAGCTTTAAGATCAGTTTGGCTGGGCACGGTGGCTCACACCTGTAATCGCAGCACTTTGGGAGGCTGAGTTGGGCAGATCACCTGAGGTCAGGAGTTCGAGGCCAGCCTGACCAACACGGTGAAACCCCATCTCTACTAAATACAAGAAAAATTGGCCAGGTGCTATGGCAGATGCCTGTTATCCCAGCAATTTGGGAGACCGAGGCAAGAGAATCACTTGAACCTGGGAGGTGGAGGTTGCAGTGAGCTGAGATTGAGCCATTGCACTGCAGCCTGAGCAACAAGAGCAAAACTCCATCTCAAAAAAAAAAATCAGTTTGACTACAAAGTTACTACTTGAATTGCCTCACCAAGACCAGATGCCCACTCCTCAGGAAACTCTAGGGTGGCCTCAGGAACCTCAGAGACCAGAGACAGCAGGCTACAAACTCAGTCCAGCCTACACTGAACGGTGAGGGGCCACAGCCAACATTTAGCATTGGGCCCTTACCACAGCTGTGAGCTTGGCTGCTCTCACCTCATAAAAATGTATTTATGTCTTTTTTTTTTTACATGCCAAATCTGTCCCAAGTCTGTTACATGTTTTAAGTTATACAGAGGTCTCATTATACGCTCATCTATGAATGGGTGGTGCCTCTGGGGCTGGGCTATAACCTAAATAGGAAAAACCCAATGAGGAATACAGGTAATCAGTGTATACAGCACCATGAAATAAATAAATAAATAAATTGAATCACAAACAAAACTAAATGTAGAGCCTTATGGCTGTTTCACATTTTCAATATTTGCACATACTGCATAGACCCATGCTCTGTGACACTATCTCTGGTCACAGTTATTGATATCAGAACAGCATGTGGGACCCAGACTGCCCACTCTTGCTTAATCCACGTTAATAATAAGGTGGAGATAGCTAGGAGGGAAGGATTTAGAGGGGAAGATGCCTTTGAGCAGGCGGAGACCAACTTGCCAGTCCAAACCCGAGAGGGCACTGTCATTTATTAAAGGAGTAATCAGAAAGTTGTCTGGTCTCTTCCTCTGCCACTCAGGAGTGCCAGGTGATCCCAGGCTTTCCCCATACTTGCCATGCCTTCTCCAGCTGGGTGGTGTTACACTAGAGCACAGAGAATACTGTCCATTAATAGGTCAAATTCCCTTTCGTTGTCTCACTCATTTGTGCAACAAATATTTACGGAGCCACTGCCTCTGTGCGAGGCACTGTTCCGAGTACTGGAGATGCAGCAAAAAAGAAGACTCATCATGGCCCCTGCCCTCATGGAGCTGATTTTCTAGTGGAGGAAACAGACAGACCTGAGAGGGGAACAATTTTCTCAATTGTGGAGTTGACTTTCCTTATTTGAGTTCCAAATATGTGGTCAAATCAGAAGGTCATAGACTTCAAGGAAAGCATATTGCTGCAAAACCAGACAGAAATTCCTTTTGCAACAATCAGATTCTAATATTTTGAAACTGGAAGTCCATGCAATTTTCTTATGAGACCCAGGGATTCTCCCAATGTTTGTCCTAATCTCAAGTACTTGACATCCACCTAGCAACTTATAAAGGAACATTAGTCTCTTACAGAGGTACATCAGTATATTCTCTGCCTTTCTCTGAGTTCTGGGGCTGCAGCTACAAGATACCACACATCAGAAACAATGGGTTTCAACACCTGTATTCATGATTCACAGTAGGAAGTGCATTTTACATTGTAACCACTTACATATATGGATGGATATATATATACACGCACGTACATACATATATACGCATATACACAAACACACACACAAACACACATACTTTTGTTTCAGTCATATATATACACATGTACACCTGAAACAAAAGTTTCGAATCGCTATACTTTTTCTTACTACATGTAATTCACAGTATTTGCTATTCCATTCTATTTTTATTTTAACAATGCGGATCATAGCTCCCTAAATTGATTTCATGGCTCATAAAAACCTGTAGTTTTTAAAAATTGGATCTGTATAGCAACAACAAAAAAATGTAGTCCCAAATCTAAGATATTGCTAAATAACTATGTGTTTGGAAATTTGAAGAAAGCTTCTGGATTTGGATTTGAATTTTTGTAATACTTCTGAAAACTATTAGCAGCCTCAGTCATTAGATAGGATATATCAGAATTCCTGGGGTTTATATAAGGAGGTACACCCACATTTGCCTCTCATACACAGTTGCATCCAACCAGTACTTGAATTAATAATCAGAAGATTTCGGTTCCATGTGAGCCACGCCTATCCTCACTCCTTCAAGTGAAAAGGGTGTTTCCTGGGGCCAGAGGCTGGAGGGGTGTGATCTAGCTCCTCCCAAAACTTGTGCAAACTTGACTTTTAGTTCATCAACAACTTCCTGTTCTTGGTCCATAATGGGAAAGTGTCCTTTGAGAAACTCGTGAACATGTGGACACAGTGCTGGACCACATTCCTGATGGCTCACCAGGGTCCGATGTTCAAACTTTCAGGAATTTCACTAGCAGATTCTTAAACCTTAAATAACCTTAAATTGGCCATGTGGAAATACACCATGGAAATGGGCAAATGGTACAAATCAGGGTCTCCACTTCTCTGTCCCTACCCCAAGCAAGTTGTTAGAGATTTGCCAGCACTCCCCTGCTATACCTGTGGGGAAGCTGAATTTGGTGAACTCTGAGCACGTAAAAGGGCCCCTGGGGGCCTTCTGGAATAGACTTGCTGGGCATACAGGGACGAGAAGGAATTTGCAAGGCAGAGCAACAGTCTCTGCCATGGCCCAGTGAGAGCTGATGGACATTTATCTGCCTACCTCCTCCCAGGCCAGAAAAGAAGTCCGACCAGCCCATGTGCGAGGAGCATGAAGAGGAGCGCATCAACATCTACTGTCTGAACTGCGAAGTGCCCACCTGCTCTCTGTGCAAGGTGTTTGGTGCACACAAGGACTGCCAGGTGGCTCCCCTCACTCATGTGTTCCAGAGACAGAAGGTAACAGAGCTGCTCCCTCCCTCCCGCACCCCCTTCCCATCCTCACACCTCAGGGCCTTGCTGGGGCCAATGTGAGTGGCCTCCTCTGGTGGAGGAGGAAACCCAAGCCACACAGGGCCAAGGGACACTGGGGGCACACAAGGTCTGCAGGAAGATGTGTGCACAGTTGTGCACGAGGCGCACACCAAATTCCCTGGATGGTGGGGGGAAAGGAGAGACAGGGCAGGGGTGCCCAGGTTCAGGAAGGGGCACAGAAGGGCAGGATCCCTGTTTTTGTGCCCTTTGGAGGTTGCTGAAGATGAGCAATGTTAGGGGACCCAGCAAAAGCTCAAACTGCTCAAGATTATGTGAAGTTTAGACTACAGATAAGAAAAGGACAGCTTTTTACCCTACTCACAGAATACTTTTCTTCATCCACCCATGAAAGGTTTCTTTGGTCCTCCTCAATGCCTTTTCTCTCGCACTCTTAGTGAGGGAGGGTTACACTAATGACATACAGTAACAGAACAGCTTTAAAACACAGACTTGTGCTGGCCCTCCTGTCACCGGGGCCAGTTGCCTAAAGACCCCTCTGAGTGTGGTGCATCCCCCTGACCCCAGGGCCTCAGCCATAGCCCCCTTTACACTTTACCAACCTGCCAACCTGGTTTCATGCACGAGCAGGTCAGTATTTATCCATCTGGTGCAGATAAAAGCGGAGTTGGGTACTCCAATAGGTGCAGCCACTCCAGGCACTGAGAATTTGAGCAGTTCCACCTCTCAGTTTATTTCATTTAGAATAATCAATTCCACATTTGATCAGTGTTTTACTGTGAAAGTCAGCACTGGAATCAAATTTGGAAGTAAAACTCTTGGGCAACTCCAACTACAACTAGTGGCCACTAAGTGCTAAAGCCGGATTTTGCAAATTATCCACAACATTTGTTTATTTTTCAATCCAGTTACAATTTATTCCCCCTTCTGTTCTGCCCACCTCCCCCAAAGTCATAGCATGATAGAACTGGATGGTAGCTGTTTCACAGTCCTTCCTTCAGAGCCCATAGACTCATGTGAGATAGACAGAAGGACAGACTGGTGGGACCCTCACCCTTGCTCCTGTTTGGCCAAAGTAGCTTCACCTCCATATTAGCTCTCATTTGAAGAAGGTTCTGCAGCTTTAAAATATTTTATAATCACTGTTCTGGTCCAATCTTCTCCTTCTAAATGTGAGAAAATTAGGCAGAAATTGAATATATGTTTTGCCCAACATCACAGAGAAGTTGGGGGTAGAACTGGACCAAGTACATGTGTCTCCCAAGTGCCCATCCAGTGTTCCCAGTGGCTCCATCAGCCAGCCTTGGGAAGGGGGTAAATAGGAACAGTAGAATCTCTGCCTAAGTCAAAAGAGCAAAGGAATTTCAAAGTTGACATTTCTCTCCTAGAACCAGTTCTTTGTTTCAGTGTGAAGTTTGTAATGACTTAGTCTAATGTGTGTTTGTGTCTGTATACACTACATTCTTATGCCCATAATAAGTGTATGTTGAATAAATGAGTATTTACTATACACATTTCCCAAGTAAAATTGACCCTTAGTTCCACTAGGTAAATAATTCCATTTGGGTCACTGACGTCGCATATTTGTCTTCATGTCATTTATAAGCAATACTTACAATTCTTTAGCTTGAACATGTTGATCTCAATATTAAGAATGTGATGAAAACTGTGAAACCTCTCCCTGCACAAATGTATTCATACACAAAAGTTTGCTTGCAATATCAGGAGGTCCACAGGCCTCCCTGTTAGTCCTTAGGGATTGCATGTATCCTAAATTAAGAACCTGTAAAGACAATATTATGACCAGTTCACAGTTGGGGTGACTAGGAAATCCCTAAGATATGGGGTTCATGTTTTCTCTTCATTAGTCTGAGCTCAGCGATGGCATCGCTATCCTCGTGGGCAGCAACGATCGAGTCCAGGGAGTGATCAGCCAGCTGGAAGACACCTGCAAAACCATCGAGGTGAGTCAGGTGACTCTCACAGGGTCTCCACCAAGCCTGCAATACCCGGGGGTTCGTGGCTTCCTCAGTGCCACATTAGACATCCCTCTTCTGACCTTTCATCCTTTGCTTCTAGAATGGCCTCCTTCCTGATATGTCTCTGAAATATTCACCTCCTGCACAAAAAGAGACATTACCACATGAGTCACTGAGGCAGATGTTGCCACAATTACTAGGGCTATTGTTGCATGTGTTGTTCTTTCTTCCTTTTGAAAGATTAGCTACAAGAAAAATAAATCCCCCATCGTGGAAATCAGTGTTGTTGCTATTAGAGCAAACTTTCTTGGTGGAAATCCAAACTGTCTTAGGAAATACTCGTCGGTGCTTTAGACAGTCATAGGCAGGTCTGAGCTGCACTTCTCCGCTCTCACAGCAATACTGCGAAGTGGTTGTCAGGAGGAGAAAAATCTGCCTAGCTGTGGTTAGAGAATGGCTCGGGGGCTGTGAGCTCATGGAGGCCAGAGTTCAGGCTCATTCATCACCACTTGCCCTCTGGCTGGCCCAATGCCTGGCACATAATCAACACTCAAAAAAAAAAAAAAAAAAAGCTTGCTGAATGGATAGATGAGTGGCTGGTTGTTTAGCTTATATATGTGCTTGCCGTATAGTAAGTAGAGCAAATCGACTTGTCCCTCAAGACCAAATATAAAGTATGTCATTACTGGAGGCCTTTAAAGTGTGGAAGCCTAAAGAGAGTTAGCTATGTGGCAGATATCTTTTCAGGAATTGAAAATTCACTGACTAGTTACAGCCATGTTGCTCTGGGGCAGGTGCAAGATATCTGGGTTCAAGTCCAGGCCCTGGCTCTGTAACCCAGAGCAGTCCATTACAATCTCCCTGCTCTAAGCTTTGGGATCATTGTTTGTGTCGTTGGACCTCTGTGCAGAGGGTGGAGGAATGATGCTGTTCAGTTCATGGCATATAGTTCTCATTGCTGGGTGCCAAGCCTCTCTTGTTATCTATTTATTCCCCATTATCCTCATTTCCCACTCTTGTTCTCTTCCTCATAGATCACCACTCTAACATGTTTGATGTTCTGTTTGTATTCTTATAAAATATGTATTGTGTTATATGCATGTCTTTTAATTTTATAAATTATATTGTGTGGTATTGTTCGTTCTGCTTCTTACTTTTTAAAAAACTTTGTAAATGGTATTATGTGGTATTTTTCATTCTGCTTCTTACTTTTTAAAAAACCAAGCCTTACGTTTTTGGAGTTTTTGTTTGTTTTTTGGGATGGAGTCTCACACTGTCACCCAGGCTGGAGTGCAATGACGTGATCTCGGCTCACTGCTACCTCTGCCTCCCGGGTTCCAATGATTTTTCTGCCTCAGCCTCCTGAGTAGCTGGGATTACAGGCTCCCACCACCATGCCCAGCTAATTTTTTGTATTTTTAGTAGAGGCGGGGTTTCATTCTGTTGGCCAGGCTGGTCTCAAACTCCTGACCTCCTGATCTGCCCGCCTTGGCCTCCCAAAGTGCTGGGATCACAGGGATGAGCCACCATCATTTTGTTTTTAAGATCCATTTGTGTTGCTACAAGGAGATTCAGTTCCTCAGTTTTCTCCTCTGTAAAAATGGGGCAATCATGGTACCTACCTTATAGAGTTACTATGAATAATTAAATAAGCAGAAGCAAAATGCTTAGCACAGTGCCTGGCGTGTGGTGAGTGTCCAATAAATACTATTCTTATTATTTTATCATGAGAAAGGCAAATTCTATTGAAACCTAAAGGTCATTTTCTAAATGAGGGCTTTAGAACTTTAGCTATACCTATCTCATTTTAAATTTGCACTTTATTAAAATCAATCTCGTTTCTTCTCCACACTCATATTCCTGAAAAGATCCATGATCAGTCTGGGACCCATTTATAGGAGGAAAGTTTTCTCTTGGTGAAGAGCCAAAAGAGATTCGGAAACAGACAGTACAAACTTTTTTCTTTGTACTTATTTACAATAAAGGCAAAATACAATTCAGTTATAACACCGTGAATCAGCACTCCAGGTAGTACCAACCTGAGTCTTGAGTTTATAAATAGGGGCATGTTGCTTGTGGGTGAGTGAGGTGATCTCAAGGCTTTATTGGAGATGTCTGTTGGAAGGAACAGGCTTTCTGTCTGGGATGGAGAAGCTGGAGAATGCACAGAAGAGCCCTGGAGGGGTCCATCTGGGCCTCAAGCAATTTGATTCTTGAGCAAATGCAAATGATTGGGGCTCCCTTTAGCCAGCATCAGAGGACACCGAGTGGGCCGTAGAGATTTGACAACAGATTTTCCTCATAGAAGCCAGTCAAGGGTGCGGTAGGAAGTGCTGTTTTTATTCACCAAAATGACAAGAAGGAACAGGTTTGAAGTTAAATCGGCAGTAGGGATTAGTGCAGATGTCAGGAAGAATGCCTGGCAGGGAAGGGCAGGATCATTACCCCCATTCTTATTGGCAATACCATTCATTGAACATGACGCACTTTTCTAATAAGCATTTTCAGAGGTGGCTAGGGGAGGGTATGTAATCACTCTCTGCAGGACTTTACGATGAGGCTGCAAATTGTCAGGAGTCTTAAAAGTCAATCTTTTTATCTGTTAATTTCATTTCTTTCATTTATTTCATACCTGTTTTTATAAGATGAAAAAACATAGCAAGTATACAGTCTTATTTGTTGTTTAGGATGTATACTCATATATAACAGTATAGAAAGTACAGTCGTGCACCGTGTAATATTTTGGTTAGTGATGAACTGCATATATGATGGAGGTCTCGTAAGATTATAATATCATATTTTATCATATTTTTACTGTACCTTTATATATTTAGATATGCTTAGATGCACAAATACCATGTATTACATTTGCCCGTGGGATTCAGTACTGTAACATGCTGTACAGGTTTGTGGCCTAGGAGCAATAGATCGTGCCATACAACCTAAGTGGGCAGTAGGCTCTGCCATGTGGGTTTGTGTAAGTACATTCTGTGATGCTCACACAATGTAACTGTCTAAGGATGCACTTCTTAGAACATACCCCATAGTTAAGCAACAGGTGACTGTGGATATTTACATATAACCTTCTATACATTCATGTGGAGAAATCAGGAATGAAAAACATCAAAAGCTTAAGGCTTGTGAATAGTGGGACTGCAGGTGATTTTCAGTGCCTCCCTTTTATATTCCTGTATTCACATTTTTATGAAGTGAGTCTGACATTTTTAATAATCAGCAAAATAAAGAATGAGTGAATATGACTCACATGAGCATAGTTCTTTCAGATCAGTTAAGGTGGCTCATCTGGAGATGTAGAGATTGTCTCAAGCCGCATGGAGGTCTCCGACTTTATGATTCCCATTTGACACATTAGCCTTCGTTTGAAGTGTCCCTGAGGACAGGGACGCTTCCAGATGGCCACCCTGTGCATCTGTCATTGCTGGGGTGATCTCCCAGAGCCGGTTCCATATCAGTGGGCAAAGCCCAGAGGCTCAGCTTCTTGCCAGCCTGGAAGGCAGGACATCATGGAGCAAACCAGGTCCTCAGCTTGCAGTGAAATGGTCCTAGCTTGAGAGCCGGGTGGATTCTCTACCGGTGTCAGGGCCACAGAGCTCTTGTGTCTCCTGTTCTGCCCGAAGTTCATTTCCCTTTCTGGCTTTGCTCACCACCTGCCCAGAAACATTTTCTGAGAAGCTATGAGTAGTTCCTGGCCAGGGGGTGGGGATCTGTTGTTAAAGAATTCTCTTTTCTAATTGGTGAAGATCTCCTTAGGGATGGAAATGAAGTAGTCCCTGGGGTGGGTATTATCCTTTCATAATTACACAACCTCTCCCCGCCCTGGGCCCTGACACCTGCCCCAGAGCCCTTTGGTGGCAGTGCCTTCCTTGCACATGTCTAATTTTGTCCTAATCATGTAATATCGCACAGGACTGGCCTGGGGAGGCACCTGTCCCAGGACCCGCCCTGGAGCAATGCTGAGCTTAGAGTAAATTACCTTGTGGACTCCTTGTTATCATTTAAGAATAGTGTCTGCAGTTAACATGAATTTACAGTGATAATGAAGAAGGATTTGAGAATGACTGTAGTTCAAAAGGGCGGTCTGAAAGGGGGAGCGGCATTTTCCTTCTGTGCTGTGGGCTGACGGTGAGTGAAGGAGCCATGAGTCTTTTTACCTCTGCTTCTTGAGAGTGGCTTGGCCTAAGACAATCCCTGAACTCTGGACTGCAGGTTGATGGAGGGCTTCTGGGCTGTTCTATGAGCCCAGCATGATCTGAAGGTTCACTTGCCTTTCTAGGCCTGGAGATGTTCTGGACAGGAAGGAACTGGATGGGGGGCTGCCTACAGGCAGTGGAAATGTCCATGGGGAGCTCTCTGCTTCCAGGAAAACATGCTTGACTTTCACTCCTCATCCCTAGAGAACATAATCTACCTCTTGTAAACTTTACCAATGGCACTTATCCTATGTCACTGGATGCTTAAGGGCACAGGCTGTTAATACTAGCCCTCCCAAAGGCAGGCTGGCAGGCCTAGAAACATCCCTGTTTTGTATGGCCTGTCTAGGGAAAATTGTTCCAAGTTGAATAATAAGTATTTGATATTGAGCATTTTCAATCTCTGAAAAAGGACAACTTGAATAAAACCCTCCAATGATTGTGCAGTGAGAACAAATTCATTGTGTTTCCAAAGCAGTGATTTTTACCCCAAATGACCTTTTCTCATCTCTGAGACATTGTCCATGCCTTCACAAATATGAAGTATGAATGTAATTAAAATTGTTTAAATAGCTTGCCAGAATTGTAAAGTCAATATAGCATATGTTTAAAAGAACAGATTTCAGAGTTTGAGTTTTAGCTCTGTTGCTTAATTACATGACATTGGGCACGTTACTTAAGCTTCCTGCCCCTTAGTTTCCTCAGCGTTACAGTGGGAATGATAATACCTTCTTCACAGCATTGTCATGATGACGAAGTTGAAATAAGAGGTAC